CGCTTCTCGCGCGGCGACGGTCGCGCGGAGGCGCGGCTCCTCGTGGAGCCCGCGCGGCCCTCCACCCTCACGCTCGACGGCGCCGGTTCGGCGCCGGCCTGGCGCCTCGAGGGCGCCGACGCCGCCGGCGCCGCGCTGCGCGGCGACGTCGTCACCGCCGACCGGCCCGGGTCCTTCCGCGTCGTCGCGGCCGTCGGCGGACGGACTGTCGCGTCCGCCGTCGCGCACTGCCGCTACGTGCGGCGCGAGATCCGCGCGCTCGACGCGGAGGACCGAAAGCGCTACCTCGGCGCGCTGCGCGCCATGGCCACGACGCCCAAGGCCGCGGGCCTCGCGGCCTACGGCTCCGGCTTCCGCACGGTTGGTCGACGGCGCCAGGACGCGCGCGCGAAACTTCGCTCTCGACGCGCGGATGCTTTCTCTTGGAACTCGCGCGCGCGGAACACTGACGAGCGAGTCGCATCACCCTTTTTTTCCTCCGCGCAGGTCCCCGAGCTCGCGAAGGTGCACCTGCTCCGGGGCGCGAACCGCATCTCCGACGAGCTCCACGACGGCCAGGGCTTCCTGCCGCAGCACCTGGCCCTCTCCAACGAGTTCGAGGTGAGCCTCCAGAGCGTCGACGCGGCCGTCGCGCTGCCCTACTGGGACTTCACGCGCGACTACGCGAACCTGGCGAAAACGACGGGCGCGCGCGAGGCGGACCTCTGGGCCGCGAACGGCGACCTCTGGCGCGCCGACGTCTTCGGCGTCATGCCCGGCGGCGCGGAGGGGCGCATCGTCGACGATTTGGACCGCGTGCCGAACGTCCGGGAGGACCCGGCCGCGTTCCCCTTCGTGGCCGCGGGGACCGCGGCGGGCGACTGGCCCGTGGGCGCGGTCAACGCCTTTGGCTACATGCGGTCGCCCTGGAACCTGAACCGGAGCCCCGCGGTGTCGCGCGCGCGGTCCTTCTGCGGGTTGGAGCGGCCGCTCGCGGACTGGCCCACGTGCGCGGACCACCACTCTCTAACGTTCGGGTCGCCGAGCCTCGCGGGCTACCTCCGCGGCGCGGGCGGCCACCCGCACGGATCCGTGCACATGATGATCGGCGGCGTCGGCGGCTGCGACGACGCCTACGCGGACCTGGCGAAAGCGTACGGCAACGCGACGGCGCCCCAGGGCAAGGCCCGGGGGGCCCGCGGCGCCGCGGCGGCGCCGACGCCCCTCGTCGACGATTTTATCCTGCACATCAAGGACGTGCTCCAGGTGCTCTGGCGCTTCCGGGCGCTGGACTTCCCGCGAACCTGCGACGCGGAAAACCCGGCCGGCGGCTGCCACGCGGCCTGCGCGACGGCGCCGCCGCCCGTCGGCGCTTCCGACGACGACGCGGACCTCGCCTGGTGGCGCCGCGCCGTCTTCGAGAACGACAAGCTCACGGCCTTCGTGCCGCAGCTCGCGGCCGTGCCGCGCGGCGCGCAGGCCGCGGTCGCGCGCGCGGTCTGCGGCACGGAGTGGGCCTTCGGGGACCACGCGGGCGCCGAGTCGCCGCTGGACCCGAGCTTCTGGCCCATGCACCCGACGCTGGACCGGTTGCTCCAGTACAAGCGCCTCGTGTCCGACTTCGACGACCAAACGTGGAGCGGCGGCAGCCTCTGCAAGTACGGCGCGACGTCGCCGTGCCTGGGGCACCGCGAGGACGACCTCACGGCCTTCAAGTCCCACGTCCAGGGCGACGGCGCCTTCGTGCTCGCCTACCTCACGAACCGGGAACTGCTCAACATGACGGACCCGCGGAGCTACGCGATGACCTACATCTACGACGCCTTCGCCTGGCCCCACTGCGCGGACGGCGTGTTGCCGGGCCTCGACGACGCGCGGAGGTAAGTTCGCGGTTAGGTTCCGGACCGACGCCGACGACGCCGTCGCCCGCCCGGGCGTCGACGCGGGGTACATGCATTTACGCGATCACCACCGGTTCCACCACTGGACATGCGCGTGGTGATCTCT